ATACAGTGGATACAGTGGGTACAGTGGATACAGTGGATACAGTGGATACAGTGGATACAGCGGATACTGTGGATACAATGGATACAGCGGATACAGTGGATACAGTGGATACAGTGGATACAGCGGATACAGTGGATACAGTGGGTACAGTGGATACAGTGGATACAGTGGATACAGTGGGTACAGTGGATACAGTGGGTACAGTGGATACAGTGGATGCAGTGGGTACAGTGGATACAGTGGATACAGTGGGTACAGTGGATACAGTGGATACAGCGGATACAGTGGATACAGTGGGTACAGTGGATACAGTGGATACAGTGGATACAGTGGATACAGCGGATACTGTGGATACAATGGATACAGCGGATACAGTGGATACAGTGGATACAGTGGATACAGTGGATACAGCGGATACAGTGGGTACAGTGGATACAGTGGATACAGTGGATACAGTGGGTACAGTGGATACAGTGGGTACAGTGGATACAGTGGATGCAGTGGGTACAGTGGATACAGTGGATACAGTGGGTACAGTGGATACAGTGGGTACAGTGGATACAGTGGATGCAGTGGGTACAGTGGATACAGTGGATACAGTGGGTACAGTGGATACAGTGGATACGGCGGATACAGTGGATACAGCGGATACAGCGGATACAGTGGATACAGCGGATATATGGGTGTCCTTGATGTCATTGTTTATATGCGAAGGTTTGGGTCTCACGAGACACCGCCGTGAGCCCTTTATTCGTTTAAAGTCTCATTACTTTCATCAGGGTATTCATTCACGACGTGGACACGAGCTTGTTGGCGATGAGGTTGACCTTGAGGAGAATTTTGGCGTGGTAGGTTGCTTCGCTGCTCTTTAAATCTATTATTATATTCCCGTTTCCTACATTCCTCAATAACATGCCCTAGATTTTTGCAATACCTGCAAAATTTAGATTGGTTTTGGGATTGCACATTGTTGACATTAAGGTTTCTAGGACTATCATAATTACGACGTGGTTGCATCGTGTTTGATTGATTCGGTGAGTTACGCTTAAACATGAGTTTTTGTATCTTTTCTTCAGAGATCGCGAAATTAATGGCCTCATTAAGGTTTTTAGGGGATCTGCATCGAACTACGTTTGAGATACGTGAATTTAACCCTATTAAGAAGTGATGGAGAGCCAGGTCTTCCATGGCCGCAGTGCGCCCTAGAGCTTCTTTGGCCTTGGTCAAAACGATCTCTGTCAGGAGTTGGGAGAGAATTTCTTCGATGCGAAGCCCAAATTGGCTAACTGCTTCATTTTGCCCTTGTCTACAGTCTTGAAGCTCGGCTAAGAGGTGTGAGTAATGTTTGGAGTCTGCGAATTGCGTTTTTAAGAACTCCTTTAGTTGATCCCAATGTGTGAAAGATTTAATAGAGCAAGCAATTTCTACTTTGCCTTGTAGTTGACTTAGGATGTATTTAAATAAAACTGGCTGCTGCTCAGCACTCGCGAGCTCATAAGCATTATTACAGTTCGACAAAAATGATTTTAGGGTTTGCCTGTCGCCATTATATGGCTTGATAAATTTAAAAAGACTGTTTAAATCTACGTTTAAGGCACCCATTGAAGCACCTGCTTTTTCCAGTTTAGTCATTTTGTTTTTCCCTGTTACTTATAAATGAAATTACAGTACACACAATTTTTAGGTTATACAAGGTACAAAATAAAGTAGGAATACGACTCTGTACAATTGAAACAAATTATCTTAGTTATTCAAGACACAAAACGAAGTTAGAATACGGCTCTGTAATTGTACACCAGTATCACCGGAACAGATAACGAATGTTTAGTCTTGCGACGGCCAGGACAGATGTCTTCAAGAATTTGATCTGTACTTAGAACCAGGTACATATACAATAGAATGAAATTGTAATGTCTAAATAATAGAGTTTCGGTTTTTTTTTATAGAAAATATTCACTCGCAGAATGTAGTATTTTCGGCACAACACAACACTTCCACTGATTAAAATAGTACAATTTTGACGGTTAAGGTGACTTACAGGATCACGAAGAAAGAAACCTGGAACATGTTGCTGAACCAATTCGGCAAGGACAGGCCGGATGCTCGACGATGTTACGGGAATATCACGTTTGCACTTTATGTGGATATGCTTATTCACTTTTCAGGATTTAGGTGTTTTTTAGACACGATATGCACTCTTTGCAAGTAGGATTTTGTATTGTTCGAGAACTCGGTGAACAAACACTTTTCACTCACGGAGGCGATTCCTAGATCTCACAAGAAATCCCTTTACGCTGCCACCAATGTTACGCGGGCCGATTTTGAGGAGGTTTTAAAAAAAACACTTATAGAACTTGAACGATTATAATGTTGAAAAAATCACTTGATTAAATATTTCAATTGGCACACGTAAAATATATTAGGACGAGTACACGCGACGGAGGATGGATGCGGACTGAGGAGCCCGGACATAGGACTGGTGCATGGGCAAAAGTGCTGACACGTCAACTTTGGGCTGCACCACCCATTCGACGGGGATAGGGGTGGCCTATGCACTTTTAGGAACATTAGATATATGTAACAGCACGTTTAACACAGATATTTGTCGTGTATTTGTAAGTGTATCGTTATTATACAGTAAGTCAAATACTTACGGTAATAATTTTCGCAAATTATTTTAAATTAGGTTCATTGAATTCAGTTACATATAGTTGAAATAACTAGTAGTTTGATTTTATACCTATTTATTACCACATCTATTACAAAGTAAGTCAAATACTAAGTGGCGGTAGCCTAGTGAGTAGGGTAAGATTGGGGGTTCTGGATCACTTTTTCCTCGCTCCGCTCGAAATGTGATCCAGAACCCCCAATCTTCGCCACATACAATATGAGTTTTCCAGAGAGTTCGTCCAGGCTGTCCTCTTATGGAATGCGCTTCCTCACGAAGTCAGGATGGCTACAAATCGGTACTCTTTTAAGACGAAAGTGAAAGAGCTATTGCTGAGCGAAATGGCAGATTCAACGAGCTCCTAGTTCATCGGCTAAATTTTTTTACTTTTTATTTTTCTCATATATATATGTGTATGTGTATGTATATATATATGTTTATGTTTATGAGTATGTTTATGTATATATATGTGTATGTGTGTGGTATTACGACGTATACACCAAGATAGTTGGTATTTAACAAAACCACTATCGTTTGTACCTTACCATAAAAGCACCTACCTCATTCTTTCTCAGCACCGCCCAATCGGTCGACTGGCAGAGAATGCCTTAGGCATTAAGTCCGCCGATGTATGTACTTGTGCAAAAAGTTAAAAAATAAAAAATAAATAAATATGATCCAGAAGCCCCAATTTTTCTACACGTACAATATGATCTAGAAGCCTCAATTTTCTACACATACTTATCAACAACAGGTATAATAGGAATTGAATTTCAAATAAAATCTTCAACCGTTAGCAGCTGAACAGCAGTAAAGATTTAATTTACACTTTGTTATTGTTTAAAATATATCTCATCAATCTTCAATCGTGTCAATAAAACTGACATCAACGTTTTATGTTACTGACAAACTAGCGCGCCGCCGGCCGGCCTGCGTCTCCGGTGGAAACTGTTACCTAGCGCGCCACCGGCCGGCCTGCGTCGCCGGTAGTCTAAGCAATAATAAGTGTGCATAATTATCAGCTGTAACTATAAAGTTAATATAAGCGAGTCTATGTATTGACCTAGGTACGAAAGTGGTCCAGTTATTAGATTATACATATGACGACACGCTTAGCTCATTAGATGAATGCATCACAATGTTATTGTAAATATTATGTATATATAAAATGTAAGGAAGCTGAGTGTGTCGCGGGTTCGATTCCCGCATGGTACAAATATGTATTTGTGTCAGTCTGGTTTTGTTGTCATGATTTAATTTTTTATAAAAGCATAGGTAATTAATTATTTAATTCCTCATACATTAATTATTTAGCATTGAATTTCCATTGATCGAAATGGTCAAATCAATAAATAAAAGTGGAAATAAAGTTCTGAGAGAGTACATACCACTTCTTTTTTAGAAAATCGTCTCAGGTATACGCGACAGAGCGGCACCGTCTGCAAAGTAAGGATGTGATCATATTAAGTAAGTAACATTCAATTAATTTTAGACTTTGTTTGCTGATAACATAGAACTAATTTTTTAGCACATATATCTAAATCGCTTTCTCACTTTGTTCGCGATTTGCTACTGTAACCACCGCTTTAAAAAATGTAGTCTATAAATAGGACTGCAGTTAATAATTTCATTTTAATTAGCACGCATGTAACCGCTTCACCTATCAGGCGGTCTAGTCACCGGCTCACCCAGATGAGATATTCACGAGATTTGGGTTACCTCGGGGCGCCTTGTCGACAACAGAGGGGTACGGATATGTGTGCGTGTGGGCAACCTAAGGGACTCTTCAGAGAAACACAACTTATACCTCAGTCATACATACATGTATAATTCATTCAAAATACAGAGTTATAAACTTAAAATTGAATATATATAAATAGTAGGTATTTCAAAAAAGGGATCCCCAAGCGGCGCGCGTCAAGGCCGAGCAGATGTTGCTAGGAGCCTCTTCGTCAGCAATCCTGCAGGTTTTTTTCACACCAGCCCGAGTCGGCTATTTGTATTAGGTAGGTTAGGTATTTATATTAGTTAAATTAACAAAATTACGTGACCCTGGAATGAGGCTCACCGCTTGCTTGTGAGCCGCGTGCCTGCCAGTATATCAGATAGTACTTAGGAGCTCATTTACGCACAAGAAGGCCACAAACAAAAGAGCACGCCGTCTGAGAAGTATCTCTTGACCCGAAATCTGGAGCCCTACGAATGGATTAACACTCATATAATCGTTCAGATTGCAGAAACAAATGACTACAAGAAAAATAAGATTAACTTACCACTGAAGTGGGTACTTAGGACACAGAATTTACTAAAAATGGATAAACAGACAATCAAAATGCTACTTCAGATCGGAAGACTAGAATCACCAGAGTGTCCCTTGCGGTTGGAAGCTGGACTTATATATGCTCGGTTTGTGAAACTTCTAGAAAGAATCCCTTCTTTATTTAGTCATGAATGGGAGCTCAATCGAATTCAAATTATCATTGAGGTTAACTTGACTCAATTCAAAGGTAACCACTTCATACCATATCAGGACACATTCAACACCAATACAATTTGACAGGATAAATTATTACTACGACATACCGAAAAAACACGCCATCTAGTGGTCCGATGGCGGACGAAGAGACATCAATACTATAGTTACAAACTACTTCGGATAAATCAATAAGTGCGACGCGGGGCGACAGGTGTCACTGTTGACAACTCCGTACGCAATACAAATATATTGGATAAATAACTGTTACACGCATCCCGTGTACTGACAGCTTTTTTCTTTTCAATATTATTTTTAAACATAAGAACAACAAGTATGTATGTATAATACTACAATTATTACTTAATATCGAATAATAAATTTGATATATGTATATGTAATAGTTAATTGAACTTATGAGTAAAATTTATTTATGGCATTCTTAATTTTAGGTCGACCAATCCCTTCGATTCTGACTGTGAAATACCAGCATCTCAGCCAGCACCGTCGGTAGAAAAAAAGAAGCAAAGGAAGAAGGTTGTCGACAAAACAAAGAAACGGACAAAGACCAATGCTCCGGTAGTAAAATCCAGCTTTATTGGGTCCGAGACGGAGTCGGATGTTGATTTGTCAGCGCCATCGACATCAAGTAAAAAAAGGAAGCAGACGGATTCATAGGTATCTATGCTGAAGTTTTTTAATTGTACATTTGGGTCTCTTGAATTTTGATTTTTCATTATTTTTACATATTAGTTCACATACCTACTGACTAAGATATTCTAAATACTATTCCCCGGGGTCAGTGAGAATTTATGGGTTAATATATTTTTTTTGAAGGTTCTTTCATGCTATTGTTTTTAATTTTCTAATGATAATTATTTTAATTTCAGAACGAGCTAGAACTCGGTGGTGAACCCCTCCGAGCGGCTGCGTTGCGGAGCTTCTTATCAAGATGTAGCGGTTCCGGTTATACACTCCAGCGGGATCCCACCCGGCAGGGCAACTACTACGTGGAACTACGTGTTTACAACGCTCGGGAAGCGGAGGCGCTCAGCACCGACCGCTGGAAACAGGCCCTAGTTACATTCAAATCGGCTCGGCAAACCGCAGTCCGGTATGGAAAGCAGTCACAAAACTAGTGACCGCTGCTACAGAAGGTTATCGGCAGATACAGCCGATACTCTATCAGTCTAACGTATTTTAAAAATTAGGTAAGTGTCTTACGACAATTTGCTTAAATGACTCATCATATTTTTGTTCTTTTATTGTTATAATGTATAAATTTGATTAAAAACATTTTTTTTACAGACAAAGGTTTGTAAAGATCACTTCGTCAGTTTATTCTATATTCTTTTGTTTTAATTTAAGTATGTATTTTTAATGTTTGTTTCCTCAGATAATTGTAATAAAATATAATCTTGCATAAGTACTTTTCTTATAAATTTTCTTAATCATTATTTGTGTGATTTCTTTCAGTAAACCAAAGTCTAAAAACCAAAAGCCAATAAACTCGAATAAATAAAACCAAAAGCCAATAAACTCGAATAAATGAATCTCAAAGCTTAAATGACCATGAATCTTATTATTTAAGTACCTAAAAAAATCCAGATCTGTAATTGTGATAATAATAATTTTGAAAATTCTAGACCAGTAATTTTGACCTTGAAGTACTTAAATCAAAATTTAAACAACATAGGTCAAAATAAATATATAAAAGATTTATTTTTGGTGAATATACTAATAAAGTAAAATTTATGAATTATTGCTTTACTTTTTCTATTCTACATAACCAAAAATGAAATTTTGCACAGATTGTAAGATTTATGTCCAAAAATATTCATTACATAAGAAAAGTAATATACATAAATCAAACTGTTTGTTGAGTACTGAATTTGATAATGTGCAAATAATAGCTACGGCTTTCAAAAATAGAATTGCTAGTTACAGATTTAATCCAATGAGTTTAGATAACATATCACCCGAGATATTTTTATCAGATATTTCTAGCATGATTTACAAGATTATTGAGACATTGCGGTTAAAACATCGATCGATTAAGATACAATTTGAGCTTTTTGTATTGTACAAGTTACCTAAAAATGAAGAATTGTCTATGAAATCTTTCAATACAAAGTATAATGTGATTTTTCCGAATACTAATATAAAATTATTTTTTGAAGAATGTGTGCAGAAATTGCTGCATAAGTGTACAGAATTTGAATTATCAGAATCTGGTTGGGCTTTAGAGTCGATTAATCATTTGGAAATAAATATAGTTAAGTATAATCCCTTAAAAGCTGGTAGTTACATATCTGTAAAAATTGTTAAAACAAAATCATGTCTTAACGTTTACAATAAAGACAGACATTGTTTTCTCTGGTGTATTGTAGCACATATGTATCCAGCACGGTATAACAGTAATAGAATTTCATCATATCCACATTACTCTAAATTATTAAATTTAAATGGTATATCTTTCCCACCAACATTTGATGACATTAAACAATTCGAAAAAAAAAATCGCATATAAGTGTAAATGTTTATAGTTTAGAAAAAAATAACACAATTACTGGACCATTATACAAAACTTTACAACGAAAACTGACCCACGTAAATTTATTATTAATTGAAAGAGCAGGCAAAGTCATTTCTGTTTAATAAAAAATTTTGCTCGATTAGTTCATGATCAACTGACAAAACACAAATCTAAAATTCACTTATGTGATAAATGTTTTATATACTTTGATTCAGAAGCAAAATTAGATAATCATAACTGTGCACGAATGCAAACAGTGCTCCCAGAAGAGAATAGCAAGCTTTGGTTTTCTAATTATATAAGGACTCAAAGAATACCTCAAAGAATTCTTATTTATGGAGACTTTGAAAGCTTACTTCGCGAATATTCAGATAAAAATAAAAGTCAGTATGTCGAAGCATACAAATTCATGAAGCAACTTGTTTCGCCTATTATATATGCTGCGAGACTAATCCAGAACTTAATAATTTAGTATCTTATCGAGGTCCAAATTGTTAAAAAAAAATTGTAGAATCTGCAATAGATTCTACATTTTTTTAAGGATTTAGAAAGTTTATATGACATTTTATCTTCGCCTAGAGACATGTCCCCGTTGAATAATGAAGAGATTCTTTCACTTGAGACTGCTACAGTATGTCACATTTGTAAAAAAAATTATTCTAATAATGATTGTATCGTTCAAGACCATGATCATTTCACAGATCATTAAATATCGCGGTCCAGCTCATAATTCTTGCAACTTAAATAATAAGTTTGTAAAATATATTCCCATAATTTTTCATAATCTTTCAGGATATGATTGTCATTTATTTATAAAAGAACTTTCAAGTGTTAGCGGTCGAATCAATTTAATTCCAAGAACCAAGGAAAAATATATTTCTTTCACTAAATTTTTCCCATTTGATTCTCAGAAAGTAGCTCAATTAAAATTTATAGATTCTTTTAATTTCTTAAGTTCGAGCTTAGACAACTTAGTAAAAACACTGGACTCCAATGATTCAAAGCATTTACAATCATTTTTCACCGATGACAATTTATTTCAACTATGCCTTAGGAAAGGTGTATATTATTATGATTATATAGACTCCTGGAAACGATATGCAGAAACTCAGTTACCAGTTCGCTTAAATTTTTACCTTAATAATACCTAATTATGTTTCATCACCGTTATTAAGCTGGGACGCCATGCTCTTGTTAACTAAAGTAGAATTAGATTTAATATCTGATACAGCAATATATCAAATGCTAGAAAAAGGAATCAGAGGAGGCCTTGCTCAATGCTCGATGCGATATGCAAAGGCTAATAATATATATTTGTCAGACTTTAATGAAAAAGAACCCAGCACATTTTTAGTTTACTTAGATTGTGTCAATTTATATGGTCATGCTATGAAACAAAGACTTCCCACTGGAAATTTTAGATTTTTAACAAAATCTGAAATAGCTTTATTTGAAATTGCATTCGTTTCTGCTGAAAGTGATGAAGGGTATATACTTGAAGTTATCATTATCCTCCTGATATACATGATCAAGAAGCAAAATAACTCATTATTTGGTAAAACGATTGAAAACAAAAGAAGACAAGTGGATGTTAAATTAGTTAATGTGTGGAAAGATAGCTTAAATAAGACCAATAAAATAAAGGGGGCACAAAAATATGTGAGAAAATATGTGAATTTAAAAAATATGGCTATAATTTCAGAGAAACTTGTTGCTATTCAATTAGAACCTGCTAAAGTTGTTTTAGATCGACCAATATACATTGGTTTTACAATATTGGAATTAGCAAAGTGTCATTTATATCAATTTCACTATTCTGTTGTGAAGGAAATACATAAAGAGGGCATAAACCTTTGTTGTACTGATACTGATAGTCTCTTTATACATACTGATGATTTTTATAAAGACATGAAACTTAATATAGATTATTTCGATACTAGCAACTTTGAAGAAAATAATATATATGATATGCCGAAAGCGAATAAACAAATACCTGGCTATTTTAAGGATGAGATGGGTGGAGATGTCATTACTGAGTTTATTGGTTTGAGGGCTAAATTATACTGTATAAATAGTTTAAACAATACAATTAAAAAAGCTAAAGGAGTTAAAAAGCCCGTTTCTTAAAAGCTCACAATTGAAAAATATAAAAATACTTTGAATAATGATATAAATCTTAGAGATACTATGTATGTCATTCGATCTAAAAATCATAAATTGTATACACAGAAAATTAAAAAATTAGGACTTAATGGAAATGATGACAAACGTCAAATTATAAGAATTAAAATTTATACTGTGCCTTGGGGTCATCATCGTACTATGTTTTAAGCTGTTATTTGACTATGTAACTACCTAATTTTATTATCTACTATTTACTTTCTTTTATGTTTATAATGTTACTATCGTATTAACAATAAAATGACATGAATTAATTATAATCTTTCTGTTTTTATTTTTTTATTTTATCCTTCCCCTGTGTAATAAATATACCCATTTGTCTAAAGTATCTACAACCTGAGTTTGAGTTAAAATTTCCGGCTCTGTCATGTCAAATAAATGTTCTAACTTTTTTCTCAGAAATCTTTAGTTAGCTTATTATTTTATCAGAAGTACTGACGCCAACTTTTATTTAATATTAACGGGGAATAGAGATCAAAATAAAAATATTTCATATGTTTATAACTATTTATTAATAATCAATCTACTCACTATTCATAATAATACATAGAAATACATGACAACTTCCCTTCGCGGGACTGTGCGACTGTGGCTTCATATGCTAACAATTTAAATATTGTTTTCTGTGTTTTTCTGCGACTAGTTTCCGGTTTGCGGACGGCCAAACGTTGTGTATAGTGTTTTAAAGAATATCAGTAAGTTTTTATTGCTTTTTAAACAGAAAAATAGTGCTGAATTAGTTTATTACGACTATTGGTGAGTAAATTTATTTTCTTTCTAATAGTGGGTAGGAGGTATCCTTTGTATCCTCTCTGCGTATTGTATATTTTTAAACTTGTTCCTTTTGAAATTGTTGTTTGGTGTGTCTTTGTTTGGCTATGTCGGTCGTTAGCGAGTTGCCGGACCCCGGCGGTACAAGTGAATTTCTAACACCAACCGGGAAAAGGACATTTAACGAAATGTCACCTACGGATTTCTCGCCGAAAGACAATAGAAGTAAACGAATTAATAATTCGGATTTAAGTGGAAATGTTTCGTCTCTTAACGGTCGTGATAACTGTGGGGAATACAATTACTGCGAGTTAGTCTCACAGGCTACCGAGTACTTGGCAAAAATTAATGAATTAGTTAATGATCAGGGATCTCAGATGAATGTAGGTAATAAAACGGCAATTATGGATATTACTCAACGAATTACCGGTATCGTATCTTTGTTAGCAATAAAATCCTCTAGCAACGAAACGAAGTTAGCGAATTTTGAGCGACAAATGGAGGGTATCGCAACTCAACAAACGAGTTTAACGTACGCGGACAAACTTAAGCTTCGATTACCACCTAAATCTGCTCCGTGCCCGGTACCTACTGAAGCGCGCGTTCCTAGGCCTTGTGTTATTGCCTATCCCACTACGGAACGCTTAGCGGACTATGCGACCTCGTCAGCAACGAAACAAGCTCTCATGAAGGCTATTAAACCGAGCGATGAGGGATTTCAAATTGTAGGCGTTAAAAAAACCTCTAAGGCAAGCGTCGTGTTACGTGTAGCTAACGAACGGCAGCTTAAGAAACTGGAATCTGTGGACGCCATTAAATCAGTAGGGTTGCGATTAGAAAAACCGAAAGGCCGTAGGGCCCGTATAATTGTAAAAGACGTACCCGGTTCTATGGAAGATCGTGCATTCCTAACAGCCTTATACCGTCAGAATATCAAGGATTAATTAAAATTAAGTGAGAACGATTTTATTAAGTCAACCAAAATTGTTAGGCATCGTAAACTAGAAAATGGGCGTCAATGGATAGGCTTAGAATTAGAGGCAGCAGTTCTGAAACATCTAGCCTACACAAAAGATAAACTTTATATAGACTGGGCCACATGTAGATTCATAGACGATATAGAAGTAGTTCGTTGCTTAAATTGTCAGCAATTCGGTCATGTACAAAAGTTTTGCACCATTAAAACCCCTACTTGTGCTAATTGCGCCGCCGCACACGAAACGCGAGCTTGTCCTGACAAAGACACACCAGATTTTAAGCCCACGTGCGCACAGTGTAAGCGGTTCAAAAAACCATCTGACCATCGATGCGGCTCACACGACTGTGCCACATACAAATAAAAACTGGAACAGCTAATATTAAATACCAATTACTGAATAGTTTAACTTAGTTTAAAAAAAAAAAAAAAAAAAAAAAGTTTAAAGAGTAACTTACTAAGTAATGAATAATATTTCGATAGGCCAGCTAAATCTTCATAACGATAAAATAGCTACATCAGAATTAGACCGTTTAATTTTAGAACAAAAGTTAGACATTGTCCTTATACAAGAACAATATCAGAGCGCTCGCTTGCGTCGTAATGTAGTACACCTTGACTGAGTTCGCAGGCTGGGATATATGTTGCAAGTTCTAATTTTACGGTAACATCTTTGCCGCGCATCTCACACTGCGCCGTTGCTGAGATCTCATCCTCTACCTGTAAGGTTTACGTAGTGAGCTGCTATTTTCAATATTCACATCCTATTGATCCTCACTTACATCACTTACGTTACGTCTTGCAGTTCCTCGTGGGACATAAAATTATCATCGGCGCTGATGTCAATGCGTCATCTTCATTATGGTATGGCAAGTTGCGTTCAACCGACACGGTTCGACGTTGTGCGGTTGAAGATTTCATTGCAGAAATGAATCTTATTATTCACAATACCCCCGATGCACCACCAACTTTTTGCAACCCAATGGGTGAGTCTTCTATTGACGTGACGCTTACGCGTGGCTACGTCTCGATATCCGGATGGCGTGTCCTTCCGGACGCATCCTGTAGTGATCACCGCTTGATCGTGTACGAATTCATACCAAGGGTTGCACAGGATCCACAAAGGGCTCCCTATAATTTTAGATATAAAACTAAAGGTGCGAACTGGGCTTTGTTTGGTTCACTCTTTGCAATTCATACCAAAGACTTCAGTCGCAGTAGTTTATCAGCTGAGGAAAGCGCAGAAATACTATCAGAAACTTTTACATACTGCGCTGATATAACTATTGGTCGCGGATCTATCTCTAACACTCGTAGATGTGATTGGTGGAATGATAGATTAGCCGAACTACGTAGAAGCTACCGGAAAGCTCGTAGAAAATTAAACACTATTAAAAAACATAACGTAACAGGAGATTTGTACAATAATGCTCTCATTGCTCTTAGAGTTGCCAGGTCCCACTACAGAGCTGCTGTGGAAAAATCCAAGGGAAACTTAATTCAGGAACTTGTTGATAAGCTCGATAGAGAGGGCCCGTGGTCACCTTTGTATCACGAATTTAAGGCAAATAGATCAATCGACCTTGCATACATACAGAACTTTAAAAATTAATAACAGATATACCACAGGAGTAGAACAAACAGCAGGGGTTGGATTTTAAAACGAGTCGCCTGAATTTGAGGGTATTGGTGGTGTAGGGGGCTTAAGGGAGTTAGTCTTAATCCCCCCACAGTAATTTTGGCTGCCGGAGTTGCGTCTAAATATTTTAAACAATTTCCAAAAATTCTTAAATACTCTTGCAATTATGCAAAACGGAACGTAATTTTTATGCTTTAGTACAGTTTTTCAAATGTAATTTTTAGGTTTTATGTGAAAAACGTGAAACGAAACGCAACCCGTCATCTTGGATGGATGATATTGACAGCTAATGTCAAATTTGTGCATCATCCCTTTGCTTTCGAGTATAGTAAGTGAATGTGTGCTTCCGTATCGATTTGTGTTTTTCTACGACTTGGCTACGTTCTTGGAATCTGTTTGGATTGCTTTACAGTACGACCTCGACTTACTCACCTTTGGACACTGAAATAACGCTATCGCAGCTTGCAATGGCGTCTGGAAGTAGTGGAACTGGACACCCGGAACCGGGACCGTCTACGAGTTCGGGCTTTGGTGGAGCATCGGCAGTATATGAAGATGTTTTCGAGGACGACGGGCCCTTTCTCGATCGACATCTCTACACAGAAGAGGTTCTTATGATGTGGAATTTGGCGAGAATAATAAAAAAATTGGGCACCAATGAGCAGTGTGTGGCATTCGCCGAAGAAAGTGGATTGGTGCAGACTCAAAAATTATGCAGAACACATCGCACTCCCATGAAAATAGCCAAATCGACCAACAGGTCATTTGGTTCTTGGTGTTGCACCAAAGGCAATTGTAAATCTAAATCTAAAATGCCACGCAATAACGGGTCATTTTTTGAAAATATAAAAATTGATTTGGTGCATGTTTTCTATCTATTATATGCATATTCAAAAAAATGGAGCTACAACGACGTAATAAATGAAGATCCCTACAAGGAAAATTATGAAAGGTGCCTGAGCCGGGTCACCATATGTGACTGGTATAATTATTGCCGAGAAACCATTGTGGCATACCAAATTGACAAAAAAGAAGTAGTTGGAAAGATTGGTGGCCCCGGAAAAATAGTCCAGATCGATGAATCTAAATTTGGAAAAAGAAAATACAATCGAGGTATTATGTCTTATAGGAAATGTATAAGAACAGGACATAATTCTTAGGTAATTAATAGCAATCTATTACTCCGAGTTGGCACAATCGGACTTCATTGGGTTAGGTTAAATGTTATTTTTTTTAAACCACCCAGAAATAGAAGCCCCGCATAGCGGGGCTCCGTCGACTCATAATTGAAGCCAGTTTTTATATATATATATATGTTTTTTGTTATAGGTCGCCATATTGAGGGCCATTGGGTTCTCGGTATGATTGAGGATGGATCTGAAGATCTGAGGTTGGAAGTGTGCCCAGACAATATTCGCTCTGCTGAGGTTTTGGTGCCACTTATATTGAAGAATGTGGAAGTTGGCACCACCATCCACACTGATTTTTGGAGAGCATATGATTGCTTGCCAGAACATGGCTACATACACAAAAAAGTCAACCACTCGGATCGTGACAACC